GCGTTGGAATAAACCAGGACAAAGATGAAGGGTGCATAGAATCTCACAAAACGGTAGCGGGTTATGGGGCTGATAAGTCCTGATTTTTTGGCGACGTGTGATACGTTGGTATTTCGTAGTTTAGTTAGTTCGCTTTTTGTTTTGGGAAAGGATGGGCAGGGGGCGGAGGAGGAGGAGGAAAGGGGGAAAAGTTAATCCTTTAACGATTAGTTAAATCTTTTGACAGCTAGTGTAAAGATGCACCATTTTCGCAATATGTAGCCTATTCGCTGCCTTGAAATTATAAAGTTCTCTCTGTCCGGTGCCTAGTTCTTTTTTTTTTCTTTTTTTCTTTAAAAAAAAAAATAGATTTTTACATATCAAGCTTTTTCGAGTTATAACGACTCCGAATAATCTTATGACTTTGATGGAGCAGATAAGACATTAAAATTTGTTTTTTTGACCTCGGGGTTTTAGTAGCTACAAACGGACAAAAATGTCAGAATTTTGTAATACTAAAGTTGCATATAAGCCAAAAAAATCTACAGTTTCCTCCACATGAGCAACACTACAGCTGTATTATGACCAGATAGACTGGGACGTCATCCTATTAAAGGTGTATTGGAGCTTTAAGGTACTCACAAATGTCGCACGCCACTCATCAGAAAATTTTGTCTTTTCAGGTTACTCAATTTTCTGTTCGGGGATCTGTTTCAATAGCACACTGTAAGACTCATGTCACTTTTCAAAATTGGCGTAAGGAGGAAATCTACACTAAGAAGTCGATTGGCACATACCACTTGTTCTTATAGTGTAGAGACAGCGACAATCGCTGATTGGTGCAAGAAAGAGTTACATTTTCTGATTTCATGAGGCTGTGTTACTTCTTGCGACTACTCAATGAACCCATGTCTTTTGTTTATTTGGTTTAGGTTATTAGATTGCGTTATTAAAAAGAAAGAAAAAAAAGAAGGAAAGAAATCAAAGTCGATCGGTCCTATGGAAGACGGACGTACTAGGAGGTCCCGCCCCTTGAATAACCTAATAGTGTTGATAGGGTCGTTAAACCATACCATTACCATTTTCAAAGTTGATTAGATGGTGAGGAAAATGTCAGGTACACAGATGAAAACCCTGCCTCTACTTATTTGTCGCTCCTTTTTGTTGTTTCCAACATAAAAAAAAGTCAAAACCTTGTACATGCGTTTGTATCTAAATTCCATTATCATCCCGTGTTTAATCATCAATTGTTTCACTGGGGTCTGGCTGCCTGAAGAAGAGTCAATTTGTACTATTATCTTCGATACAGAATCACATATTTTATTAAAAACCCTTGGCTGAGAGGCCAATGTTTAGTAATTTTTTCATACATTATGCTAGTGAAGTTCATAACCATAAAAGTATTTGGATGGTGTCGGGCGCAAGGTAGTTGAGACTAACATGCCAAAGAATACCAAGATTTCAAGTATCCAAGTTTACCCCAGAAGCAACAAAATGTAAGAATACCCGTTCCCTATTCCATGATCTTAATTTTCTTGTGTGGGTCTATCAATCCTAAAAACACCACAATGCTGTTTAAAAGGCGTCCATTTCCAACAGGGCCGACCAACACATTAAGAAGGTGAGCCTTGACTTGTTAAAAAAAGCATACTAAGTTCTCAAATGTCCTTTAAAGGCTTTAAACCAGGGTTATCGACTGCACTCTAGTCCACGCAGATATCAACTGAGCTTTCCAGTGTATCCAACAATTCAGAAGTAAAGAGACAACAGCAGGTAGTTGGGGGTTTCATTTTTGCTCAATGCCAACCCCCCCCCCCCCACCCACCACCAAAAAAACACCCAAACAAAAACAAAAAAACAAAAACAAAAAAAACAACAACAAAACAAACAAACAACAACAACAACAGAAAAACAACAACAGAAAAACAACAACAAACAAACAAACAAAAACAAACAAAAAAACAAAAACAACAACAACAAAAACAAAACAAAAAAACAAACAAAGAAACACTATAAACCGAAAAAACAACAACCAACCAACCAACAAACAGACAAACAAACAAAAAACAAGACCCCAAAAACCCAACAACAACCAAAACATGCTGGAATAAGCTACATTGTGCCCGACACCACCGACTTGTAGAAATGAGTCGTTGGTTTTTTCGTCGTTGCAGAGTTAATGAGCGTGTGCTACATGCATCATTCATTGTGAAATAACATTCTCTATGCAATGCTTATTAAACGATTTGATAGAGTACACACTGTGTAAAGTTTTGCTTCGTTGTGCCCGTTTTGTCAATTCGTACTATTCTCGAAACTGAAAATGTCTCCCGGCATCTTTGATGCTGTGGTAAGGGGCTTCGCTGTGGCATGCAGGAGATCCAAGTTCGATTCCTGAGTGGGGAACATTTTTAATTGAGTATCTCGGTCTTTCCGTTCAGACATTGCATAAACCTTTGCCTGGGTTTGCCTTGACACGAGCGCTTCTCATAAATGA